GTACCCGGCTAAACATACACCCGTGATCGATTCGAGACAAAAAGCTGCTCCGATACTTTCGTATCGGGCAGCTAATATACAGTATTATATAATTATTGCATGCGAAGTATGAAACAACGGGTTTTATTCAATCAATGGATTTACTATTCCAGCTTATGGAATAAGATCAAATAATGTCATCACGCCATAAAATAAACAATTAGCAAATTAAAGAAAAACATACAAAGTTGACAAGGCACAAAAAAGATTTTTATGACGTAAATAAGTAGAAACCTGATAAGACAATAACGCCAATAACCTGCGGATAGTACAAAAGTCCTTTTCACCCACCGGTATATTTATCTCCCCTGTAAGAAAATTTATCCGAATATTTCCATTATTATCCCATATTTTTTGTGAAAACTCCGTGAACCTGCAACAAGCTAAATAATCTCCATGATAAATTCCGCGATCGACTTTTTTTATAGAGATGAATATCGCAATAAATTTTTTTTGGCATATTATTCAATCTTTGAATTACGATATACGGCAGCTATTTACTGGTGATACAAAGTTCAGAAGCATATTTTCATCCACAAATGTTTAAAATCTCCGGTAATTAAAGCATTAGTAATTATAAATATTCAAAATATAAAGATGTTTCTCATTTTATTAAGAATCTGAATAAGAAAAGTAATATTATAAAGTATTATAATTGATTTCATGTATATTTTGAGATTACAACTATAATTATCTTTGCTATTAGTAGCGAAATTATATCGGTGGAATAATACAAAAATTTATGAAACGTTACGAACACATAATTTCGCGACCAGTTAAAGACAGAAATCAGCCAAGCGTAAAAAGTATCGAGCTTAAATTAGGCATCATTTGATTAATTTGAATAAAATTTTCTCAAGAAAAAGCAACCGAAATAAGCTTAAATAAGCTTAACGGCGCATATTTAACCCGAGAGTTGGGTCATCCTGTTTCCCAATTATAGAATTTCAAAGTTCTCATAATTTGTGCGCAAAAAAATACGAAACGTCTAGATAATGGATGTAAATGCATTATATGCGAGTATACTTACATGGTCGAAGATCAATCTTAATCGTGTTAGGAAAGTTGCACGACTTAACCGACTGTAATAAAGTTTGAATAGGAGGTTGGCGGCAATTTACTCTGTCAGGGTTTGCTGAATTTATTGGTACTACAAAATATTGATCAAAGTTGATAGCGTGCGTTTTCAAAAGCACCTTTAAATGGAAAGTGGCTTAGGAAACAGTTCCACAATTTGACTACGTACGTACGTACGTATATATTATTTTCTAGAGAGAACAAAGTGGTTGCCCGGTAATTTATATAAATCACAAGATCTTGCACAATGCCTAAAAACAAATAAAAATCATCAATTGAATTTTTAATAATAATGCAGTATCGAGAATTTCATTTTAGATGCACGTCATTATTCTTAATAATAAGAACGCGAAATAATCATTATTATTGTGAGAGACGATACAATGAATAATACCATTTATCATGAAATAGAACGCGTTTTGTTATAAAAACTAAGCGCAGCATATACACATCCTAAATTCTGTAACTATTATTTATAAATCTCAAAAAGGATATCTTTTTGCCAACGGCTGAAAAAAGCAACCTAAAAAATCATACGTACGATGATCAAGAGACGAACAAAGTAGGAATTTATATAATTGAAGTTCAATCAGATGCGAATTTGTAAAATAGGTTTTCTACTTGCATGGGGCTTAGGTTCAGTAAATCCGGATTGGTGTTTTTCCGACCTCATACAGCTTTGTGGTGTAGTACGATATATATATATATATATATATTCATTATTTCATTGTTCAACATATTCCCAGGGGGAAATTGATAGAACGTTTATCTCCCCGTTATTATTTGTTTTTTATTTGTTTTAAATAAGAATTCAATAGTTTGTTTTTTTTTTTATACACAAGATATTATAAGATAATTCTCATTCTTTGAGAGGACTGCATACCTGCATATATGGGAGTGCTGCCTGCTTTCGTATAAATAAACCCGCAACCTCCCGAATTTTTATCCTGTGGTGTTTCATATTTGCAATCATATAAATTTAGGGCTCCCAAAGTCCAGCAGCCCAATATTTTTGCTTTTCTTTTAGTCCCAAATCCTCTCCAAACTTTTATCCGTCACCCAAACCTTTATTTTTACATAATGTACAGTCAACAACATGGAAACTCTCCGTCACACCATCAACAAACCGGAGTACCAAGAACCGAATACCATAACGTTGGGCGTGGCGAGTATCCTCCTCCACTTGAAGGGTACTATCCTCCGCATCATCCTATATATTACGATTATCACCACCCCCCACCACATTATGCCACATATCTCCCAACAACGATGAATCCAAGCATACCAGTATCACATTCAGACGATTATCAAGACCGTAATTCAAAAAGGACAAAGTCAAATAGTGCTGATACATCACTTTCCGCAGCGACTTTTGAAGATAGTGATAAGAATAAAATTCTCTCTCCTACTAAGAATTCAATTCCTGTATCATCAAATTCACGGATAAAATTCAGGAAAGATCGTTTCGGTACCTTTGATGTACCAGCCGGAGGAGAGGAGGAGGACAAAAGGTACGCCTCTCCGAAAGCATGATAAATTTTCTGTTGTCGCCTTTATACGAATGAGTTTGGAATAATTGATCTTTGAGATCATTATTATACTCGGTGACTTTCTTGGATTACTGCAGTTAATCAACATTTGATTGATTATTTGTCATTCTTCATTGACCCAAGATAAAAATTACACGATTTTCATGTAGAACATATAAGTTGATAGTTTGTCAACAGCCGCTACGTGCTCGTATGTGCGGGTTCGGCGAAAAAGATCGACGTCCAATCGATCCACCGCCGATCGTACAATTGGTTGTGAATGACGAAAACGGGAATATTGATTCAAGGTGATTAAGTTAACTAATTTGTTTGTTTTTTTTCTTAAATTTATATTTATATAAAAATCTTTATATGATCAATCGTTGCTTTGATTTTTCCATATTAGCACGAGCTTAAGGTTTTTTACAATTCACTAATTTTATTGAAATTTATTAAATTTTATCATAATATTAAAAATTTTCTTTTTTTTTTTATTGTTAAATTCAGTATGTTACAGAACCCATTTTTCGTTCTTCATGTTACGCTGTGGTCCGAAGATTGTAAAGAAGAACGCAATGTGATTAGTAATCCACCCAAAACTACGCGCGTACTTATGGGTTCACTTGTATCATCTCCGGCCATCCTAAAAAATACGGATGGAGAATCGGGTTGTTACTTTTGTTTTCCTGACCTTTCTATACGTACAGAAGGAAAGTATACGCTAAAGTTTTCACTGATGAAATTAGGAACGTTAGTATATTTTTATTCAATAATTGCTTTAACACGCATATATTATTCTTTAGCAATGTATATAAATCGCGTTTTTTGAACTTTAGTGAAGACCGATTAATAAGTACTAGGACAGGAATTATTTCCACAGCATTTTCAAACCCGTTTACCGTATATTCGGCCAAGAAATTTCCTGGTATGACTGGTAAGGAATATTACAAGCTTATATAATCACCTTTCATCCATTAAACCTAATTTGAATACTTTTGAATAATGTATTAGAATCTACAGAGCTTTCGAAAGCTTTTGCAAAGCAAGGCTTAAAGATCCCCATTCGGAATGACGTTCGACCAAGAAAGGTCGCTGAGGATTGATATTATGTCAATTGATCTTTTTAAATATCGAAAATTATTTGATTAGATCTAATAGTTTATCTTACATTATGAATCTTTACTGTACCTTTATATTGTAAAATAATTTATTTCATTAGGACTTCTATGAACTTCAAAAAAAATGTTTTTTTTATTAAGTTAATAAGGTAGGACACTTTATATGACAATTTTTAAGGGGGAAAGGGATTTTACTCCCTGCTCTATATTTCCAAATAAACCGTTCGACATGATAGGACACAAAATATTGATTTAATCACTACGCAGTAACGATTCTTATACGTATTATATAATTATATACATTTAAAAAAAATGATTAATCACTAGAGTTGTTCATGTAAATTGTAAAATTGTATTCTGATTTTATAGTAGTGATTTATGCTACTAATAATAACGTTATGTCAGGGTGAAACCCGCGCTAAATTCTGGTAGAACCCGCTTTGATCATTTGAAATATGCGTTAGCAGTGTTTATTATATGTTAACGCGGATTTCACTCTCATGTGATCGGCATAACGGATTAAGCGCGGGTTTCACCCTGTCGTATAACGTTTACTATTTTACTGACGTATCCTTATCATTACCGTTGTTGAACGATCATCAGGGAACACTACATAATATATAGTATAATACTGTAATATATTGTACATGTATGTGTTTGTCTTATTTTGCGCCGGTAATACAAACTTTTAAAAGGAGTTATGTCTATAGAGTCAGCTCATAAAAGTTTTATTTTAACTTTAGAGTTAGAACTTTAGGCATGTCAATATAGTTGCTTATTCCGGAACATTTTGTACTTCTGTGAACGGTAATAAAGCCTTTTACAAGTAATTAATTCTAGTAAATCTTTCTACTTATTTAAAATAGATTTCGCAAAGTTTCAAACCATCTCATAATTTTTTTATCTAAATCAAATTTTAACTGTCAAAATAATACAGTGGCAGAAAGTAAGGTCACTAGTTAATAAAATTTATTTTTATGTATGTATTCAATATTGGGCAGACGATGAAAAATAATAAAATTTTTTCATCGGAGTTAATGTCACTCCTATGCGGTGCGTAACTGAACTATCCATGGAGCATCCATGGATTAGTCCCACATGAGCTGGGTTTGGACACTAATATGGTTATCGTTGGTATAAATAATCCTTTTATAGTTTGTGCTGGATTTGGATCTACCCAATCAAATGTGTGCTGGATTTGGACCTATCCAATCAAGGATATAGATCAAAATAATTGGTATGCACCAACTAGGCTAGCTTTGGTCTTCGAAATACCCGCCCAGCTCGGTCAATATTTGGCCATTGTGGAACTCTAAATCTCGTGCAAAAATATTAAGATAAAAAATTATACGACTATATAAAAGAAAATTTCTTAACTTACACATAGTGTTACAAGCCATAGGTTTTATCGGCTAAGTGGCTAACTAATGGCTAAAGACCAAAATTTTTTATCTTTGGAAAATTTCGGACACCGGATAATACTAATAGAGGTACGAGTGGAGTTAATTTTCGGGCATTTTGTCCGCTTTAAGGCTTCAAATTTTGTCCATTTTAAGTCTTGTACCTCTAAATTCCGATTTATATGCCCATTTAATTATAACATATAATTTTATTTCGGATCATTTCGGGATTTTGCAAAAAGTTTTGCCCAACCTTGCTCATATTTGGAGAATGGACTAGAAAACCAGTCTTTGACGGATAGTTTGAATTCTTAGAAAAATGCGATTAATGTAAATTTTTATCAATTTATTTTTAGAATTATTACATTATAAAAATTTTCATCGTTATGTAATTATTAATAGGTATCCGTTTGGCTATTGTACTAAATTTAGTACACACAAAAAAATTAATTTTGAATTAATTATTTGATTAAATTTAATCAAATTTTGCCAAAATATATTTGAATATTAGAACTATCTTTTTGTACAATTTCAGTGATATTTATTAATAAAAATTTTGTGTAGCTTACTCTTAAACTTACTGTATTGTTCTAAAATTTTGCTGTACTAAATTTAGTACAGTATTAAAAAAATCATAATATACAAAAACTTATAATAAAATTAAATTTTTATATTGTTTTTGATTTTGGTCTGATTAAAAAAAATAAATAACAATTTATTTAGAAATCTGTTTTACAGTGACACAAGTCTAAAAATGGATAGTTTTTTTAAATATTTTATATAGTAAAGCATAGTAAAAACATAGTAAAAAAATTTGTAAATTTAAATTTCTTGTAACTTTTTATAGACTAAATTGATTTTAATGATTTTATTACTATTAGAATCAGAAAAATTAGCTCTACAACTTTTATTTTTTATTTATTTGTTTTTTTTTTAACGTTAAGGAGACCTCTTTGGCCTGAAAGCTTTTATTAGGATTTGAAATGATGTTTTATATACAATTACAATAATGGTACATTAAGCTATTTTGAGTACCTAATTTAAGTAGTCCACCCAAAGGTTCTACACTATCTGCCATACCTGTACTCCAACTAGGAGGTACTCATTTAAACCATCTGATTATAACTGCTACTAGTTAATCATCTAATCTCAGATTTCCTCATCATTTATATATAAATTTTGGTATTACCCTGGCAAAAGATTAGAACTTACTAACCATTTCTGGCTGATCTATTCTTGAGGTAAACCTAACAGAGCAGTACATGTTCACACATGTATTCACCTGCATATTTCTATAACTTCTTCCTAATTAGTACATATTGACCTGTCATTTCATATTTATATCTTATGCCACCTTTTGAGGTGCTGCTATTCTATGAACATTTCTCAAGCACTAACCTTTCTAACTAGGCGTCCATTACATACTCACTGCCCTTATTCAGTTTACAACAATCCTGATACCCATATTTGGACTATCTCCTTATCTGGTTTCTTTATCAGTCTATCCTTTACTTCTAGCCAGCAACCCGGAAGGATCAGTCTGCCCAGGCTTTAGGTGTTTGAAGAATGCCCTTCTCTTGATTTATACTTTCAGAACGTATGCCTTTTTCCTCCAATGCGACAACTTAGTAGTTTAGCTAGTGTATCCTCCACCAGTAGACCTGGTCACTTGGTTCACCAATTTCAGGCCCTGGTTTGAATTTAGCCTTCCTGTAATACCGTCAAAGATCACTGCTACCTCCAAATTTGGAACTTGCCAAATAGGTTTTTGGTTATTTTGGTTTCTCAGATTTATTGAGCTCTACAACTTTTATTAAAAATTTAACAAATCTTTATCAAATAAATTTTTTGTTATTTATAATTTAAACCATATAAAATTTATGAATTGGTTTTCATAACCCAGCCAGGTTATAAAAACCAAAGTGTAAAATTTAAAATTTTATTTATTAATAAATAAAATTTTGCATGCCAGGTTCCAGATCATAAAAACTAAAATTTAAATTTTATATTTTATATTTAAATTTTATATATTAATATATATATTAAAATTTAAATCTTAATTCAATAATATATGCAATAAAATTTAAATTTTATATCAATATGTAAATAAGTATATATACAGAATCATAAATATTGGATTGTAATATTTAAATTTTAAGGCAATATTTTGAATTAGATGCACTAGAATCTTTGCCAGGTAGTGATTAATTTTTAATTAGTATAAATGGTTTAGCTAGTCAAGTAAGTTTATTATTCGCATTTTACAACATGAATTTTCAGCAAAATTACCATGAAGATTATATTAATCGGAGTAGTTTGTGCATGGTGGCAGGTAAGTATGACTTGTGAACATGTTATGCAGATTTTAATTTCATGATTAATAAATAATTTTATCAGTTAAATCTATGATATTTGAAATATTCTGGTATCGGTAAGTAGGTATTATGATCTTGACTTGTAAATTTGGTTTACTGGGTTTAACTTTATAATTATCGCGATCAAAAATCATCTGATCGAATTTTTTTGCTATAACTATGTTACCTAATAAAAGATCTTTATATTTACTAGCAATTGGAATGATTGTACGTAATAATAAATATTTAGATTAATTTAACCGGAAGGTATAAATAAGTTGTAAATCAAAGTAATATATATACTTTTTTATTAGCTTATTATTTTATTGTCTGTGCTGATTTGGTCGATAAACAATTTTTATTCAAGTTGATTTAATCGATATTATTTATTAATTGATTAAGGGTAGAGGATACTATTTGCAAATTATATATAAAACTAATGGTAAATTTTTTTCTTTTTAAAGTTAAAGAAA